AAACATGGGGATTTCGTTTCATTTGTGTGTATTTTTTTGTGCGTCCCAGGGCCCTTTCACTCCTGGGCGGCACGGGCGGCCTCAAGAGGTGGGCCCGCAGGAGGGCCCCCGACAGCGAGCCAGGGGTCGCCCTGCAGGTCGATGCCGGCCGGCGAGGTGGGCCTCCAGGCGGCCCAGGGAGCCCCCACGACGCCCCCAGGAGGCCTCCTACGTAAGACGCCCCCCGGAGGCCTCCACGAGGCTCCGCAAGAGGTTCCCAGGAGAGCAAAGGTGTGGGTTTTCCACGAGAGTTTGATGGTTTCGTCGCGTTCTCGCTTGGTCGGCCGCCCGACGCCTCAAGGCAGCCCAAGAGGTCCCAAAGATCAAGCAGTGGCGAAGCGTCCTGGCTCGCCTATAGCCCTACCAAACAGTGTTCTAAGAACCTGTTGTGGTTTCCACGAAATGTTCTTAGAACATTTCTGGCTGGGATTGCTTTGTTTTAGCACATCGGGTTTATGTTCTAAGAACATTGTTTGGGTTCTTCGAACATTTGTGGGTTCTAAAAAAATTTCGTGGTATGACTATAGGAATGCCGGGACGGCCGGTCCCTGCTCAAAAAGAGCGTCCCAAGACGGCCTCAGACCTCCCCGAGAGAACGCCCAGACGGCCCAAGACGGCCCAAGAGGCTCCCCAGACGGCCCAGGACGCCCCCAAGACAGCCCGCCCGAGAAGGCCCCAGGGGCGCTCCAAGAGAGGCCCCCGAGGGGGAGCCGGGACCGACTCTTCGAGCTCCCCGCCCAGAGCGCCCCCCCTCGAGGCCCCAAGAGGCGCCCGAGAGCCCCCAAGAGGCCCCCACATCGCTCCCAGGAAGCCCCAGAGTAGGGGAACGAAGAATGACATAAACATACAAACTCGGAGGTCCGCGCGGAGTTCTCGGATCCGCGCTGGACTCCCCTGGCGGCGCCTCCGGCGCCGCCCCTGGCGCGCTCCGCGCGCCAGGGAGGGGGGTCCAGCGCCGATCCGAGAAATCCGCGCGGACCTCCGAGTTTTTTTGTTTATGTCATTCTTCGTTCCCCTACAGAAGGCCCCCAGAAACCCGAAAAAGGCTCTCCTCCAGACTGCCCAAGATGCCCCCAGGATGGCCGCAGACGCCCAGACAAAGTTCCACAGCGTCAAACGGACAACACGGGAACCAACCCAATGCGCCCCACATGTTCTTTGCTGTTCTCTTTCTCGCAAGTCACGCACGCCTGGCCGGTGGCTCGCATGGTGGCGTGCTAAGCTCACCTCGCATGGCCATCATCTTGCGGGTGGTTCGCATGGTGCTGTGCCGAGCGGTCGTCGTGGCTCGCATGGTAACGTGCTCAGTTCCCCCACGACTTCCTCCTCTTAACACCTCCAAACGCATGGATATGAGGCCCCCAGAAAGGTCCCAGAGGGGCCCAAGCGGTCTCGAGATTTCCTGCACTTTCGGCTTCCCGCCGGGTCCTGAAACGCACAACCAGGGAACCGACTGAACATGCCACACCACTGCCTGTTCAGACCTGGGCCATTTTCAATGCCGCATGCGTTCGCCCCCGTCACCGTCACACGCACGACCTCATGCAGCCGGCGGCTCACACGGCAGCGTGCGGAGCTCACCCGCAGAGGGGCACAGTCCCACATCTCGAGTTCTCCGCCGCAGCGCCCTGAAGACCGAGCGGTGTTCGTCGCATCGTGCCGTGCTGAGCTCGCTTCCCGCGTCACTATTTCGAGAGTGGCTCGCATGGTGGCGTGTTGAGCTCACTTCGTGGCTCGCATGGTAAGGTGCCGAGTTCACCCACGCCTTCCTTCTTGGAACGCCTTCTCACGCACTTTCCTGGTAGAGCCGCTGGCTCGCATGGTGGCGTGCTGAGCTCCCCTCACCCGGCTTCATTTTTTTGAAGTGGGTCGCACGGTGCCTTGCTCAGCTCACTTCGTGGTCCATAATTGTGGCAACGTGCTGAGCGCACCCCAGAGACGATTCCCTTTTCCTGTCATTTTCACTCGCGCGGCTCCAGCAAGGCCAGCGGCTCGCGCGGTCCCATGTTGAGCTAGCTCACATCACGCTTCACATGGCAATGTGACGAACCCGCCAAAAAGTCGCCTACTTAGTTATTCTCCGGCCACCTTCTTACCAGGGAGGGACGCACGGCCCCGAAGAGCCAGTGGCTGGCATGGTTACGTGCTGAGCTCACACCCTGCTTCGCACGGTAATGCGCTGAGCCTGCCCCACAGACGCCTCGTTCTTTCGCGGCGACATTCCCATTCGGGGAGCTTTGCGGCGTCCCCTGGGTCACCCCCCCGTGACGGTCGGTGAAGCCTCAACCGCCACGAGGACAACGCTTTTTCGACCCCGCCGCAGTCGTTTGCGCGGAGCCCTCTATTTTCGACCCTGCCGCGCCGACGCCGCTAATCCACAATGAGGACCACCTCCTCCCCGCCAATTTGTCCTGGCTATCGCAACCCCCCACCGGCGTCATTACGGTGACCCTTGGGCGCGATTCAACGCCTCGTTTCACATCGAGAGCTCTCGTACTTCTTTCTCACTGGCGCCCGCGAAGCCAACTTGACACCCATCAGTTTCGGCTTCACCATCATCAACACCGCCCAGGATACGACAAACAACGCCGCGGGTGACAACTGGTCTGCTTTCACTACTGCGCTCGTGTCTAAGCCCCCACGCTTTTTCATTCGACGGAAGCACATCGCGCTAGCCCACATCACACGCGCATCGACAGTAACGCCAAGGAGCTCATATTCTCGGAAATGTGGCCCGTCCCAGCCGCCGCCTCCTTCCCAAATTGGCACATTAGAATCCGCCCACGTGGGTCTCTCGCAGCTGTCGCTCGCCCTCAAAGACAAACAGGACGCTGCCTCTTCCGAGCACGCGTGCGAGGGTTTTTTCTTTCCAGTGAAGAAACGATGCATAAACAACTTCGGCAGTGCAGAGGTGGGCATTGCCCGAGTCCGGCTTGCTGCGACGCCAGCCACCGCGCCACAGCGCATCCGCGTGGCAACCCATTGCAACGCGCATGGGCCTCTACAGATTTTTGTGGACAGCTCGTTCTAGCCCTCTCTCCATGTCGCAACACCTCCCGACTCCTCACTTGCGCTCGTCGCCAAATCTCCAATTCGCGCTCTCTGCGGGCGCAGCACTGCTGCTGCATGTCGCTGTCTCTGTCTCTGTCTTTGTTTTCTTCACAGTCGGGGCCCTGAAGAAGGAACCCTTTTCGTTGGGGAGGGGCTCCGCGTTCCTTGAGTGATGCACAGCTTGCCTCAGGTGTTCCTTATGTTTTCGATCGGAAATCGACGTTTAACTTATGGAAACATGGGGCCTCGTTCCGTAGTTAGAGTTCCTTAGGTCAACGCCCCGACTGTATTTTCTCTCTCTCTCTCTCTCTCACTCTCTCCTCCTCTCTCTCTGCCTCCAACCGCCTCCTGACCTTCCTGCGCCTCTCCGCTCATGCTCACTGGGCCTGCGAACGCACCCCTCGCTAATAGCTGAGGCGACGCGCCTCCCCCTCCTCCTGCCTGCTTCCAGCCTCGTTGTGTATGTCATCGCTCGCCGTCGAGGAGCCCCAGCGAACGCGCAGACGGACAGCGAGGAAGCCAGCAACGGTCCCACAACACATCTCCTCCATCCTGTCCACTGCCGCTCTGGCTTGTTATCTCGGCATGAACTTTACAGGGATCCTGCCGACCAGCAGCGATGATTGCCGCGATCTCACCGCGCTAAATTTCGGCTCTCTCATTCCCCCTCTTCCTCCAAGCGCGCTGATCTTCCGAATGGCTTGCTCCGCCTCGCCCCTCCCTGTTCCATCTTTTCGGGGAGCCCCCGGAGACCGCCAATCGGACGACACGCGAACCAGCCTGATGCGCCCTATGGTCATCAAGTTCTCGACTCCAACGATCTCCGATCGGCCACCAAGGCAGGGCTGGAAATTCTTTCAAGCCACAAGATGCCTCGAAAGCACACGCATGCAAAACATGAACGAGACCCCCAACAGGGCCCGACGACTGGCCAAGACCGCCCCGAGGCAGCCGGAAACGCCCCCGACACAAGCTAAGCACATGAACCCTTCCAACGAGAACTCCCCATTCGCTTCCCTCCCAATGTTCCTTCGCTCCTGCCGTTCCCACTCGGAGGAGGAGGAAGAGGAGGAGGAGGAGGAGAAGGAGGAGGCGGACCTCGTCCTCCTCCTCTTCCTCCTTCTCCTCCTCCTCCTCCTCCTCCTCGCTCCATCCTTTCGCCTGCCAGCTCTTTCGTTCCTCAACATCCTCGGATAGTCCTGAGTCCGACAGCCAGGGAACCAACCTGGCCGCCCAGCTTTCCCCTCCTCCCCTGCCCTTGCCGATTTCACAAATCATCCCCACCTGCATTCCAAGGTCGGGGCTCGTGGCCTTATCAGGTTCCCCTTCCCCTTCTCCCTCCCTGTATCAGGTTCCCCTTCCCTCGTGGCTGTATCAGGTTCCCCTTCGGAGGGTTTATCAGGTTATCAGGTTTCCCTCCTTCCTTGCCCTTGCCGACTTCACAAGTCATCCCCACCTGCATTCCAAGGTCGGGGTTCGTGGCTTTATCAGGTTCCCCTCCCCTCATCGACGCGTTCGCTGCTTAGGATGCACCTCCCGCGTGACGGTCCCAACCTTTCTGGCAGATGTCCGTCCCGCGTCGCGTTCTTCCATGAAAAAAAAACATCCTGACCTCCTTCGTCCCCGTCCCTCTCTTCCCCCTCCCCCCCCTTCTAGCAGGGATGGTCTCCTGTCGTTGGGGATGCTGTGGCAGGCTTTTCATTGCGCCCCAGTCGTTGGAGGCACATCCCCAGCACACGTGTGGTAACGACCAGCGTGGCACTCGAGGAGGTTACGCATATGATCCGTATAGACCACGGTACAAAAGGATGTCGGATCGGGATGGTGGGGTGCGTACTGTCGGGTCGATGTGGTCATTTTGATGAGCATCCGAGGCTCGATTCAAAAATATGGATCCCGCGCCGCCCCAGTGGCCCGGACATTGCCGAGAGCTTGGTGCAGCAGAGGCGTCGGAGACGCTCAGCGCGCTCAAGTTTGCGCGGCAGGACTGGGACGCATCGACCAGAGCACGTTTCTGCGGCAGCCTCGAGGTGGGAGGAGGAGGAGGAGGAGGAGGAGGAGGAGGAGGAGGAGGAGGAGGAGGAGGAGGAGGAGGAGGAGGGGGGGAGGGGAGGAGGGGGAGGAGGCGGAGGAGGGGAGGAGGAGGAGGAGGAGGAGGAGGAGGAGGAGGAGGAGGAGGAGGAGGAGGAGGAGAGAGGAGGAGGAGGGAGGAGGAGGAGGAGGGGAGGAGGGGGAGGAGGAGGAGGAGGAGGGAGGAGGAGGAGGAGGAGGAGGAGGAGGAGGAGGAGGAGGAGGAGGAGGAGGAGGAGGAGGAGGAGGAGGAGGAGGAGGAGCAGGAGGGCGGAGGAAGGAGGAGGAGGGAGGGAGGAGGAGGGGGAGGGGGAGGAGGAGGAGGAGGGGGAGGAGGAGGAGAGGAGGGAGGAGGAGGAGGAGGAGGGAGGAGGAGGAGGAGCAGAGGGCGGAGGAAGAGGAGGAGGAGGAGGAGGAGGAGGCGGAGGAGGAGGAGGATGGCGCGGGCGTTCCAGGTGGAGCGCCGCCAGTCCCCGGGAGTCCAACGATCGGCGCCCCCGGAGAGCCGTGCTCCGTCGTCCTTCGCATCGCTCGGACGTGTGCACTGTTCTCTCGGCGAGGACCATCGAGGACCATCCTGTCGGAGGGCACCAACTATACACCAACACCGATCCTGGCCCAGGATCACCCTGGGCCCAGGATCGGTGTATATGCCTTCTTGCGCAAGGCAGGAGGGCGTATACACCGATCCTGGGCCCAGGGTGATCCTGGCCAGGATCGGTGTTTGTGTATAGTTGGTGCCTTCCTATCCTGGACCATCGAGCAAAAAAAAAAACACGCACGACATCAAACATGCACGGGAAATGGACGTCCGAGCGACGGCAAGTCGTGGCTGAACGATCCACGCAGTGCCAGAAACCAACGTGCGTCTGAGTCGGGCCTGTCCATGATCAGAAGGAGCATTCAAGAATAGCAAAAACGTAGTCTGGGGACTATTTGTTGATTCTGTTTTGGTTATCTGGGGGTATGTTTGAAATAGATAATTTTTTCGCCCAAACTCAGCCTGTAGGGGGACACGCCCCACCTAAACGTAGGTCGACGTCATCCTGACGTGAATCCGCCGTACCCCTGTCTGGACTTGTCCTGCTGTAGCAAATGCCGAAGGGCTCCGGAGCTGACCACCGAACAAGCCTTTTTGCCAAAACACAGCCGAATGCCAAATGCCGACGATCTGTCGATATGTTTTTCAGGGAGGCGACCTGGTCAGGGGGGGAAGGGGGATGAGGAGACGGGAGGCGGGGGGGATCGATTGCTCTCGGGCTGATTGGCCCTCAGTCTTCGCTTGGGCATGGAAAGTTTGGGTGTATCGAAGACGCCTACGGCAAATCACCGACCCCTTCTGCCTTTTGGAAGCGCCTATGTGGCCGAACGTTGCGGCCAGAGCTCGGCCGAGCTACTAGACTATGTGCTCCCCCCTCCGTTGTGGAAACCTTTCGGGAAACACGTGTGTGCGAAAGAAGAATAGGAAAGGAGTGAGGACGAATGAGGAAGAGGAGGAGGAGGAGGAGGAGGAGGAGGAGGAGGAGGAGGAGGAGGAGGAGGAGGCCTGTTGGGAGTCTCTTGGGGCACTCCTTTGGGCCTCCTGGGGGCTTCCTGGGGGCCTGATGGAGGCCTCTTCGGGGCTTCTCTGGGTTGCTTCGGGGCCTTTGGAAGCTCCCTGGGAGGCCCTTTGGCCGTCTGAGGGCGTCCCTGGCCCCTCTGACGCCGTCAGAAGCAGTCTTGTTGGCCCCTCTAGGCCGACTTGGGGCCTCCTTCTTGGAGGGCTTCAGGGCCGTCTTGAAGGCCATCATTGGCGTCGTGGAGGTCTCCTGGGCCGTCTTGAGGCCCCCTTAGGGCCGTCTTGAGGGCCTCTTGGGCCGTCACGGCGCCATCTCGGAGGCCTTTTGGGCGCTCCAGGGCCATCTTGGGTGGCCTCTGGGGCCGTTGGACAGAGCTCTGCCAAGCTATCGGATCATGTGTTCCCCCGGCCGTTGGGGAGACCCGTCGGGAAACATGAGGGGGAGAAAGAAGAAGAGGAAAAGACGGAGGGAAACGGAAGAGTAGGAGGGAGAGGCCTCTTAGGAGCCCTTTGGGGGCTTTCTGCGAACCTCCTCGGAGCTTCCCGGGGTCCTTTGGAGGCCTCTTGGGGGCTTCCGTGGGCCTCTTGGGGGGCTCTTGGGGGGCTCTTTGGGCAGGCGCGTTGGCCGTCTGGTGGCATTCTTGGCCCGTCTGACGCCGTCAGAAGCCGTCTTGCGGGCCTCTTCGGGCCGGCTTGGGGCCTCCTTGGAGCGCGTCAGGGCCGTCTTGGAGGCCATCTTGGGCGTCTTGGAGGCCTCCTGGGCGTCTTGGGGCGCTCTTAGGGGGCCTCTTCAGTGTGCCATCTCGGCGGCCTCTTGGGCGCTCTAGGGCCGTCTTAGTGGTCTCTGGAGCCGTCTTGGGCCGTCTTGGAGGCCACCTTGAGCGTGTTGGGTCGCTTGATGGCTCTTGGAGGCCATCTTGGGCGTCATGGGGGGATCCTGGGCCGTTTTGGGGCCCTGTTATGGCCGTCTTGTGTGCCCCTTTAGGGGGCCATCTCGGCGGCTTCTTGGGCGCCCTAGGACCATCTTGGTGGTCTCTGGAGCTGTCTTGGGCCGTCTTGGAGGCCATCTTGAGCGTCTTGGAGCGCTTAAGGGCTCTTGGAGGCCATCTGGGGCGTCGTGGAAGTCTCCTGGACCGTCTTGGGGCCCTCTTGTGGCCGACATTGGGGGCCTCTTTAGCGTGCCATCTTGGCGGCCTCTTGGGCGCTCTAGGGCCATCTTGGTGGTCTCTGGAGCCGTTCTGGGCCGTCGGAAAGCCGACAATGAGCAAACGCTCAAATCCTTCAAAACCTCCTGACAAAATTGGTTTCGGTTCGTTTTCGGCCCCGCGATTTTGAGATTTTTGCTGAAAGGCCTGCGTACTCTTCTTCATCACTCCTCTTCCTCTCTTCCTCGTCCTCGTCCAACAATTGATTTTGGTCTCGTCGGGCCTTCCTTGAGGTCCTCAGGCCGTCTCGGGGCCCCCGCGTGACCGTCTTGGGAGCCTCTCGGGGCCCGACCTCTTGGGCTGTTTCGGAGCCCTCCTGCGCCCGGAGAAGTCGCGCGGTACCACGCGAGGCACCCCGGGGAGCGCCCCGAGAGCGCCTTGGAACTCGGGAACGGAGGCCCTCAAAAAGAGCACTCTCGAGGGTGGACAGAACCCCGAACAGTGACACGTCGATTCGTGAATTGTCCGTTTTCGGTTCTCGAGAGGGCGCCGCGGCCGTTATTTCCCAGAACTGCGCCCGCCAGGTTTGGGCCTCGGGCCGTTTTCACTAAACCACGTCTTACTAAAGGGGGGTCTGTCCATCCCCGACACTCCAAGACCTTGGCATCGCTCGGACGTGTGCATTTTTCCTTCGGCGAGGACCATCGAGGAGCATCCTTGATCATTTCGCGAAGAAGCCACGCACGAAACCGAAAAATACACAGGAAATGGACGTCCGAGCGATGGCCAGAGACGCAGCACGGAGGACCCGAGAGGGGCCTGGTGACGCTCCGTGTCATGCCTCGGGGCACGGCGGCGGGTCCTGTTGTGGGCCGAGGCCCCGCGCCGGCGCGACGGGTGGGGCCGACTCCAAGGCTGGTCCAGGCCCCGCAGGATGGCGGAGCTGGATGGTGGAGGCCTCCTCCTCCTCCTCCTCCTCCTCCTCCTCCTCCTCCTCCTCCTCCTCCTCCTCTCTCTCCTCCTCAGGGTCCAGGCCCCGCAGAGTAAGGATGGGCAGCCTTCCCGAGGGTGCCCTTGCATCCTCGCCTCCTCGGTCCATCCCTCGCCGCTTTCGCTGGCCGCGCCCCGCTCGAACAGCTTCGAGATGGGCGTCCAAGGCCCTTGCATCCTTGTCGCGCATCCTCACTATACTGGTTGACTGTAGACGCTTCCCCGAAGCACTCGCTTCTCCTCGGCGGCGCCCGCGGGCGCAGGCGCGTGTTGGCGAGAGCTCGTTGGGCGCGGGGGCGCAGGAGGCGGGCGGAGAAGCAGGGAGCGACCGCGCAAGGCTGGAGTGATAAGAGGAGGAGGCAGATGTGGAGGGATGAGAGGAGGAGGAGGAGGAGGAGGAGGAGGAGGAGGAGGAGGAGGAGGAGGAGGAGGAGGAGGAGGAGGAGGAGGAGGAGGAGGAGGAGGAGGAGAAGGAGGAGGAGGAGGAGGAGGAGGAGGAGGAGGACGAGGAGGCGGGAGGAGGAGGCGGAGGAGGAGAAGGCGGAGGAGGAGGCGGAGGGAGGAGGAGGAGGAGGAGGAGGAGGAGGAGGAGGAGGAGGAGGAGGAGGAGGAGGAGGAGGAGGAGGGAGGAGGAGGAGGGAGGCCCGACCGTCGAGCGTCGACGGGCGAGGTGCGCGCTCAGAGGCGGCCGGCCCCGAGGCGCACGCGCGCCCGGAGAGTTCTGGCGGGGTGTAGGCTCCAGCTGCGCGTGGCCTCGGCGGGGGGCTGCTGGAGCGCAGCTCCTGCAGGGGGGCTAAAACTACTCCTCGCGCAATCGCATCCCGCTCGATAACTTGTATGGTTTTGGCGCGGAGTAGTTTCCGATCCCGTTTTGGGGTAACAGAGTTATACACGTCTCCGGGATCGGAAACTACTCCGCCGAATGACCCCAGCATTATGTCATGTCAGGAATATTGAGAGGGATGGGAGAGAGCTTCATCAGCCAGCTTGGGGCAGTCGGGGCTCGTCGAAGCGCCCCCCTCGGTGCAGTCAGCCCGTACAGTTAGTAATGGTTCGGAGGTGGACAGACCTCCCACCCTGATACGTCGATTAGCGAATTGGCTGTTTTCGGTTCGCGAGAGGGCGTCGCGGCCGTCATTCTTGCGGGTCCAGGTCCGTCGGTTTCGGTCCCAGGCCTTTTTCACTAAGGGGAGGTTTACTACTAAAGGGAGGTTTGTCCACCGCCGAAGGGTGCGCGATAAGGATTCTTGGGCCTTGGACGCCCATCTCGAAGCTGTTCGAGCGGGGCGCGGCCAGCGAGGATGGCGAGGGATGGACCGAGGAGGCGAGGATGCAAGGGTACCCTTGGGACGGCTGCCCATCCTAACTGTGCGGGTTGCCGGTAACAGCCTCGCCGTCCGTCGCGGCAGGGAGCTAGACACGCGTGGCCACACCTCGCTCCAGCGATCGCCTCCTCGCGCGGCCCGGGCACGCCTGCCGTCCGCGCGTGCATCCGGCATGTGGGTTGCGTCTGTTCAGCGTTTGAGCTCAGGGCAGGCTGGTGTCGTGTCGGCGCGGCTGCGAGCCCCTCGCGGGCGTTCAAGGCTGAACGCCGGCGGCGGCCCAGAGAATCGGCGGAGGAGCCGCAGATCGTCGATCCACGAGGTGTCAGAGGCCAACGCCGGGGCCGCCGCGGCACGGGCTTGCCGCACAATGGGGCAGTGTGGCCCGCGTGCGGCTTCGGCTCTCCAGCAGGCGTGCCACGCTCGGAAATTGCCGCATACTTGACTTCGCGTGCACCAGACAGTGTGTCAGAGCCCCGACTCATCAGGGGTAACTCGGGTCAGGGCTAACTCGGGCTCGTTTTTCGGGATTCCGAACCCGACTTACCCCGGACCCGAGTTACCCCGGATAATTCGGGCGTCCAGAGCCCCGAATCATCAGGGGTAACTCGGGTCAGGGCTAACTCGGGTTCGTTTTTCGGGAATCCGAACCCGACTTACCCCGGACCCGAGTTACCCCGGATAATTCGGGCGCCCAAGTGTGGAAGTTGGACGCCCTTTGCCGCCGCGCACCCCATCACGCGTTAAGATCGGCGACACAGTTGGAGGAGGGAAGATGCGCTTGACGTCCCCGAGTGTGTTGGCTAGCTCACTACACAGTGGCAGCACGTCAGTAGTCGTTTGGCGCGAGAGCGCTCCCATGTCATGCCTCCTGTCGCTGTCTACCGCATCCAAGATTTGAGGGCATTCACGCCCACGCGTGTACTGTGGAGCCCGCATCTCCACCACATCTCATTGCGCTGCCGAGCCAATGCGAGCCAGGCGACTGCTGCGTGATCGCGTGTGCAGGTGGTGACTGCGCACCGCGAGGCGCCAGGCCCGCGCTTGACCTGGCGCACTCGTTGCCCGAAGCCTTGTGTCTATCGACTACGCGCAAGAGGGACCCTTCGCTGGAGGGACCTGGTGCGGGCCCACAGGAGTCCCCCGATCGCCTAACGCGATGCGATAGTAGCGTCCTGCGCGCTTGTGGTTGGGCCCCCCGCGGCCCGCAAAAAGCCGCGCACCAAAGGACACTCCTACCCAGGGCCACTTCTGCGTGCCGCCGTGTCTAGTTCAGCCCAGCTTGGGCCGGGACGCACCAGAGCCGATTTTGGGCGGCAGGGCCGTCAAGAAACAAGTCGGGGCTTGAAAGCCCGCGCATGTGCAGGTGCGGGGGTCGAGGGCTCCAGAAAATAAATGGGGGGCCCGAAGTACCGAAGCACCCGGAGTCTGGCTTTCTCACGACCGCCGCCTCCTGCGTCGGCGCTGTCTGCCGCCAGCGGTCAGCGCTCTCGCCGGGTAAGCCGTCGTCGCCCCTGCGGTCAGGAGGCCCTCTTCTTGCAGCACCTGGCCGACGAGGCGATGCCAGACGCTGCGGCCGCGACAGAGGCCCGCAGAGACTCGCCCGCATGGGAGGCAGGAAGCCCTGCACTGCTCAGGAGGAGAGGAAACACACAGACACACTGAATCCTCGACTCCCCAGAAAAATATGGGAAAACACGGGAAGTGGGCGGGAAGACAGAAACCCAGAAGAGATGGGAAAATATGGGGAGTGTTTTTATTTGTGTGTATTCATTTGTGTGTCCTTGGGCCCCTTCAATTGCGTTCGGTCAGCAGCGCCGTGTGCTGCAGCGCCTTGGGCGCGCGGTGGCCCCTGAGATCCGGGCGCTGGACTGTTGCTCACACTGGGCGCTTTCTCTCCGCTTCGGGCCCCGGGACCTTCCCAGATCGACCCTGGCTCGGGCACTGCCGCCCAGAGGTGGGGTCTACAGGGCTCCGCTCGTGATCCTTCTGTGGAGTGGTATTTTTCTCCGCAGCGTCGGGCCCGAGGCTCCGCGACGGGGGTCGGTTTGTAGATTCCGTGGGGCGGCGCCCCCTGCACGGCGGTGATGATGGAATTTTGTACAGGACATCCGATGGCACATTCTTGTGTCTGACGTGGGACCCCAGGGCACTCGACAAAGTTCCAGGGACGGGAACTAACCCCCAGACGCTCAGATCGGGGGGGAGCAGTCGCCGTCACGATCGTCTAGCGGAGCCGGGGTTTGGAGGGGCAGGAGGTCAAGCAAGCGAGCGCGAGGGGAGGTTGAGGAGCTTGGTGCACGACTTCAGCGCACCGCGCAGGGTTCGCCTCTGTTTGTGACAGCTCCGACGACGACGACGACGAGAAGCGAGGATCGAGGTTATGGTCGTCTGGTTGTCGTGGCCTGTGGAGACCTCCAGAGCCCTTGCAGGGGCCTTTGAAAACTTCTGGGGGGCCTTGGAGACTTCCAGAGACGGTCCAGGTCATCATGGCTTGTGCCGAAGCCTCACTTCCCCCGTGACGCCTTCACCTTTGTCGCCGCCCGCGATCTTCAATTGTCGATCTCCACCATTTCCGAGGCCCGCTGAGCTTCTCTGCAGTTGGTACATCTTGTTGAGATGAATTCCTTTCGTGGGCTCAGCTGTTAGCCCAGGAAGGTTTGGGATTCGCAGGTGGGAAAGCAGCCCGATAGGTCGACAGGGGTCTCCTCCGAGAGGCAAAGTGTCCCCTGTGCGCGCAAAGAAGTTGCACTGAGCTGCGTTTGCCGATCCAGGTCGACAGGGGTCCCCTGAGTGCCTCCAGACTTCGCCAGGGGCTTGAAATATGTTGCACGTGCATGAATATGTGTACGTACACACACATATATATATATGTTTGTATATATATATATATATATGTATATGTATATGCGTGTGCGTGCATGTAGAACAGAAGGACTTTGGGCTCAAACATGTCACCCTGGCGAAGGACCCAACCATATGCAGCTGTGAGTACCACAGTTGTGAGTAACATTTTTGGTGGAGCTCCCCATGAGGCCACGACAGGTGTGAGGGGTGTGCCGAAATGGGTGCGGGGCGGCATGCGAAAGCCGCCACTGGGGCCTCAGGCGGAGCTCACCATGGGGCCCACGAAACATGTGACGGGTGCGCATGAATGGGTGCCGGGCGGCACGCGAACGCCGCCATTGGGGCTTCAGGTGGAGCTCCCCACAGGGGCCCACCAAACGTGTGAGGGGTGTGCCGAAAAGGTGCGGGGCGGCATGCGAACGCCGCCATTGGGGCCTCAGCGAGCTCCCATGAGGCCCACCAAACGTGTGGGGGGTGTGCCGAGAAGGATGCGGGGCGGCATACCAACGCCGCCATTGGGGCCCTAGGTCCTAGGTGGAGTCCCATGGGGCCACGGAGCGTGTGAGGGGTGCCGATGGCCGCCTCGGATTACAAACATGAGGTGGGGATGCCATAGGGAGGGGCTCCTTCTCGAGACTTCATCGCGACTCACTCACAGACGGGTGAGCGCCCGAGACATCCTCTCAGTTTGCTCAGGAACGAGGCGCGCGCTGGAGACTTCCTGTGGATTCAGGCTCACAGGTGTCGCCACACCTGTGTCTTGTCCCAGCATGGGCGCCGGGCTGGAACCAGGCATTTTCGCGCGTCCAGGCCATCCAGAGAGATATTTCATATGGTGGCCCCGAGCTGGATATGTGTGTTTCACATGTCCAGGCCACCCAGACAAGACATCTAACACGGTGGCCCCGAGTCGGAACCACGTGTTGTCACGTGTCCAGGCCACCCATAGGGGTATCTCTAACATGGTGGCCCCGGGCTGGAGCCAGGTGTTTTTGCGGGCCCAGGCCACCCAGAGGGGTATTCATGGCTGCCCCGAGCTGGCGTCATGTGTTTTCACGTGCGCGGGCCAACCGCGGGTGATGTCTAACATGTGGTCGTTTGGGCGCCCCCCGCGTGGGGACTCGCAAGAACCAAGCAAACTCCATACATCGACACGAGGTGTGTAACAACCTTGCACCGTTTCTTCGGCTGGTGAATTTCCAGACTTCCCACCGGGGTATCTAACATGGTGGCCACGAGCCGAAACCACGTGTTTTCTTCACGTGTCCAGGCCACCCAGGTGGACATCTGACATTGTGGTCCCGAGCTGGAACCGCGGTCGCGTTCATCGCCGTCCGCCGTCGTTGTCGTCGTCGGCGTTTCGGCCCGCCCCTTCTCAATGCACTTCGCCTCGGTTTGGGTTCGCCCTTAGCATTTCGCCTTGTTGCGGAACATACTCCTTTCATAGGGACTCGACTGCAATCAGGTCTGGGCGGGCAATGCGCCCAGGCAGCGCCCATCTCAGTTCTGTCAGGATCCTGACGCGAGGGAAGATTTGATCCACGACGCTAGATCCACGACGCAACACAGCACGGATGCGTCCCGCTGCCGAACTGGATCGGATCTTGAGCTCGAGCTCGTCGAGCGCCCCGCGCGTTTCTATTGCGGCCATATCTGAGCTATGCGTTCGGGCAGTTTGAGCTTGAGATCCATCTCAGTTCGATCGGGATTCTGACGCCACAGACGACCTGGTCCACCATGCAGTAGGGCACTGCACTTCAACGCGGCATGGCGCGTCTCAGTTCATCACAGCACAGCACAGCACAGCCCCCGGGCACTGTACGTCTCCGTCGCTACCTTGAGCGCTGCAATTGCCCTTCGCCTACAGCTGGTGCCTTGATGTATTCCCATGCTTCACATTTCAATCTCCCTTTCAGGGTTCGTGGGCCGATGATGTTCAGGGTTTGCCGACGTCCGCCTCGGATGACCACCATGATTTTTGCGGGACCCGTACGGAGGGGGTTCCCGCTCGAGACTACCTCGCAGCTCACTCACAGACGAGGCTCACGCTCGAGACCTCCTCCGTATGAGTGTATAGGAGCGTGTGAGCGATTGAGTGTGTGTGTGTGTGTGTGCGCGCGGTGATGCAAATGCTGATGATCATGATGATGCTGATGATGATGATGACGAGTTCGAGGACGACGACGACGATGACGACGATGATGCTGATGATGGTGATGATGATGATCACTATGGGGACGCGGATGAGGATGAGGTTGAGGATTGATGATACTGATGATGCAATTGATGCTGATGATGATGAAATTGATAATGATGATGGTGATGGTGCTGAGGACGACAGTGGTGATGGGGGTGATGGTGGACACGATGATGATGACGACGACGACGAACCCGAGTTCGATGATGGTAATGACGATGATGATGATGATGATGATGATGTCAAAGACAAAGACGACTATGCTGATGCTGTTGATAATGATGCTGATGCTGATGACGGCGTCGATGTTTATGCTGATCATGATGATGATATGATGCTGATGATGATGATGTTGACGATCATGATGGTGGTGATGCTGGTGGTAATGATGATGGTGGTTTGGGTTATCTGTGATGATGGGTGTTGGAAATTTTGACGACGACGACGAGGACGACGATGATGATGATGATGGTGGTGATGATGATAATGATGCTGATTCTGATTATGATGATGCTGGTGGTGGTGATGGTGGTGATGATGTTGATGATGATGATGATGATGGTGGTGATGGTGATGGTGATGGGTGGTGATGGTGATGGTGATGGTGATGGTGATGGTGATGGTGATATTGATGGTGATGATGAGGATGATGATGATGATGATGCTGCTGCTGCTGCTGCTGTTGATGATGATGATGATGATGATGATGATGATGATGATGATGATGATGATGATGGTGATGGATATGGTGGTGGTGGTGGTTCTGCGGCGCGGGGGTGGTGGTGCAGAGAAAACGAGGACCCCACTTAGGATGTGGGGAAATCAGTTCTTCCGATTTCAGAGCACTGTCAACCTGCCTCGAGCCTCGGGCCCCTCTCTGCAGCAGGCGGCGCCCGCCGCGGCCGACGGGCCGTCCGAGGGCTCCCTCGCGGCCGCGGCGTGGGCGGCCAGGGCCGCCGCGCCGCCGCAGCTGGACGGTCCCGCGGCCTCGGCGGCGGCGGCGGCGGCGGCGGCGATGTTGACGACGACGCCGACGGGTCCTGGACTGATGGAAAGAGCCCTGCACCGCCCGCGCGACCAGGGTGCCAGCGCGAACTCCAACGCGCCCCCCCGCCCACGACGCAGTGTTGGTCGGCAGCGCCGGCGGGGCTCAGGAGCTCGGCAGTCGACAGATGGGCACGCGGCGGCGCAGCGCCGCCGCCCGCCAGCAGTTCAATCGGGGGCGCGGGGGGTGTCCACGAAGCTTAGCATCCAAAGTTGGAGATTCTCTCCATCAACCGTCAGGCGATCGCAAACCTGGATTAAGGGGGCGTGGATTAGCGACGGGTCCCGTTTCCATGGGAAATCGCGGACTTCCGCCGCCGAGCGAGGCGGCACCGGCCGCATTTTGGGGAGGGCACGTGTCCTGCCTTCACGTCTTGCCTGCGGTGACCCTCCCCAACGCCCCGAAGACCCCGGGACATTCGAATCAATAGCCCAAGAGGCCGATTCTTTCTCGCAAGTCATGTCCACCTGCGCTGTCACGGCCCAACAGGCCATCCAGACGGTCCAAGAGGCGCCCAAGACAGCCCAAGAAAGCTCCAGGAACGCCCCAAGGGGGGCCCCAGAGGGGGAGCACGAACCGACATTTCCGAAGCCCCAAGAGGCCCCCAGGAAGCGCCCAGAGGGCCCCAAGAGGGCCCCAAGACTGCCCAAGACAGCCCCAGGATGGCTGCAGACGCGCCGACAAAACGTCACAGCGTCAAACGGACAACACGGGAATCAACACAATGCGCCCCATAGGCATACTCTTCTTTGCTTTTTTTTCTTTCTCGCAAATCACGTCCACATGCCCTCCAAGGTCAGGGTTCGTGGCAATATCAGGCTCTTCGGTTTGCGCAACGCTGCCCAGATTTCCATGGTCACGACTCGCTACTGTCGAGCGCATGTTTTCGTCATGATTGCTGGTGCCTGGCGTGTTCTGTGGATTATGTGCGTCACTCGTTTTTCCCGCCAGCATCTTATTGCCATTGTGCCGCGAGACCAGGAGAGGGAAGGAGGGGATATGAGAAATGGCAAGGTGGTTTCGGTCCAGAGTCGACCTGTAGCGAGCCAGAAAGAGAGAGAGAGAGAGAGAGACTCCCACGTCAAAGTATATACGTAGTTGCAATGTGAATAGTTCTTGGTTGGCGGAGACGGGCTGTCACGCTTTGAAGGCTGATTATGGAGGTGCTGTCCCGCAACGCTTGATTATTCACCGACAGTGCTTGCACTTAGGTGTTCTCATTTGTATTCTACGGAACTGGGCCTGCGGGACTTAGTGGGCCCTGGAAATGACAGGGCCATTTTTTTACGGGTTCCGTTTTGCCGTTTTTTTGCCGTTTCCGACGCCGATTTTTTACCGGTTACGGGCTCCCGCTCCGGCTCCAATCCTGGAGCCCTTTTTGTTGCCGTTTCCGGTCGCGTTTTTTTTGCCGCTTCCATTTTCAAGGGATACTTTTTCGGAAACGGTGAAAAAACGGCCCTGCCGTTTCCGGGGCCCACTAAGCGCTGGGCTGCGCTGCGATGGTAAAGAGTGCGCCCTCTGTCGGCAGCTGCGCTGGCGACGTCTCGGCCCGCGCGGTCCACAAGAGAGCGCCCCGAGCGGATCGGATGCATAGATGCGCGCCTCCCACATCTGGGCGGCACGGGCCGCCCCCGATGGTCCACGAGACGGTGCTGCTCCGGCTGATCTGGCCGCCATCGCCACCTCGTCGCTGCTCCTCGCCGCCCCATCGCGCGGGCCGGCGGGCCGCTCTGGCCGCCGTGTGGCCGCCGTCGCCGCCTCGTCGCCGCCCGCGCTGCAGTGCTTCGCGCTGCTTTGCTTCGCGTTGCCTTGCTTTGCATTGCATTGTATTGATGTGCTTTGCGTGCACAACTTGGCATGGGGTTGCATGTCTTTGCTCTGCGTTGCGTCGCGTTGCATCGCGTGGCCTTGCTTTGCATTGAGTGGCACTGTTTTGAAGTGCCTTGCAATCGCATCGCTGTGCATTGTTTTGCGCTACTTCGCACCACATTACACCACATGGATGTCACAACCTATATTGCACCACATTGAGTGCGCCACCAAGGCTGCACCGCATATATTGCAGGAATGCACCGCATATATTGTTGGAATTCGCTGGTTGGGGGTCCACGCTGTCTAACATATGAAGTTTCCTTCCCATTCCGAGTTCGCATTCTTTCTGAAACGCGTAATGGATTTCTGGGGCTCGCAAGATGGCCCACTGCATGTGCCAGTCCTGACCAATCTCTTTGCGATGATCATCTCGTTGCAGTTGCCGAGGTCAGGGCGCTGGTGATTGGTCCGCCGCTGAGGAGAGGGCTCACCAGGCGCGGTCAGCACGAGAAGAAACAGGAGCATCACGAGGAATGTTGTGATGGCGGACGAGGAGGTGTACCATCGGCATAAGCCGCAGCAGGCGAGAGCGAGGATTAGGGGGACCAGGAGCATAAAGTAACAGCGGCCGGGGGGTGGGCAGTAGCAGGGAAAGAGCAGTCGATGCGGTCCGGCGTCTGGTACGCCGCATCCCCGCGCAAGACGCAGATTGAGGTCGCCCCGTGCTCCCGTCTCAGTGCAAGGCATAGAGGCAGGTGGCCTTTCGCGTGCACCATTGTTCGCATGCAGGTATGCTGGCATTTGCGCATGCGCGGCTACGTGCGCAGACGCACATCTACACGTAATTACCTGGATGCACACATGCATCCGATTGGGGACAAGGGCCCCAGGCCAAGCTGGTGGTAGTTTGGGACCCCCTCCTGAGCACTGCGCGCCCCTCCCGTTCAGGGGATGCATCCTGTATCAAGCAGCTGCGAAGCGTTCTGGCGTACCTACAGCCCGACCAAGCAATGTTCTAAGAACTTTTTGTGGTTTCCACGAAATGTTCTGAGAACATTTCTGGTTGAGACTGTTCCCCATGCAATCAGAGCTTGCCTCTGTAGGGGTCCTGGCGGATTCATATGATTAGGTCAGGTTTGCCGCCGATTTTCGCTGCACGCCCGGGTGCCCCGGGGTGCCCGGGTGCCCTGGGGTGCCCGGGGCCCGGGTGCCCGGGGGGGGCCTGGGGGGGGGCCGGGGGCTTGGGGGCCCGGGCGTGCCGGGGGGGGCCCGGGGGTGCCTTATAGCCCAATAGCCCTGTAGCCCTATAGCCCTACAACTCTATAGCTCTATAGCCCGATAGCTCAATAGCTCTATAGACCTATAGCCCTATAGCTCCCTAGCCCTATAGCCCTGATTGTTTTTTTTTCTCCGGTATCATTTGGTTTTGACACATCGGGCTTACGTTCTGAGAACATTGCTTTTGTTCATAGGAGTTCTTAGGACATTTTTGGGTTCTAAGAACATGTCGTGGTAGGACTATAGGGGACTATAGGAATGCCGGGACGGTCGGTCCCTGCTCATTTGTACCTGCCCCCTTCTTGAAACGTATCCCCCAGACCCGCGGGCCCGCAGGGCCTCCAGGCCCCCCACCCAACGCGCCCAGTCCACCCTCCGCCCTTCAAGGTACAATCGCGCGCCTGCACATGCCTGCGGACGCCGCTCCAGATGGTCCCAAGAGGCCCAGACCCCGTCGGCCCCGCCCGGCCTCGCCACCATCCTATGTTTTTGGCTTCTGTTTGCATGTTCATCCTGTACCCGCGGCGCCCTCCTCGTCGCGTGCTTCCCCCCTGCCGCCCCTCGTCCACGCGAGGCGTCTGGCAAGGGCCTCGCCTCCTGGGGTCGAAGGAGCTGGCACGGCGCTCCCTCGGCGGAAGGCCGGCGGAGGGCGGCGGGAGTAAAACGAGGGCGGCCCTGTCGGCGGAAGCAAAATCCGCCCCCCAGAGATGGCAACATTTTTGTGGGTTCAGGGATTCTGGAACCCGCCACGTGCTCTGATACTCGTTATCCCCCGCGTCCTCGCGGGCGTCCAGAAGGGGGGGGCGATGACTTGAGGGGGGGGGGGAAGGTGTGGCCGGGGCCACGATGCCTTCCCAGATCTCATGGCCCCACCTCTTCTGATGCCAGAGCCTTGCCTGCCAACCCCCTGACCCGCGCACGTGCCTCGGGCCATGGTTTGCGACCCCCCCCTCCTGACGCTTCTGACGTTTCTCGCTACACAGCGTCTTGTCGCGCGCCCCGCGGGCGCGGAGCGCGCCGCAGCGGCCCACTAGGGCCGTGCGGGCACTCGAACAGCGGCCCCGGGAACCCGACCCCGAGGAGAACAGGGAGGACCAGGGACCAGATATAAACCTCAGAAGAGGGAGGAGGGGGCCGGGTTTCAGAAAAAAAGGGGGCCCGTCAGGGCCCATGGGCGGGCGCCGCGCGCGCCCACGCCCGCGGGCGTCAGGCAGCGCGGCACGGCGCACGGCCAGGCCGACGGCCTCTTCGTGGGCCGGCGGCCGCACGGTGGCGGCTGGGCTCCCTTCGGCGCGGCGCGCTGAGCCCAGCCGCCGTGGGGGCGGCTTCGGGGGGCTGGCTGCCCCCCGCAGTGGCGACCTCCACCCTTCGGCGCAGCGCGCTGTGGAGGCTCGCCGAGCCACTCATGGGCTCCAGCAGGCCAGCACTGGCGGCTGCTCTCTCCTCATCGTGCCGACTAGGGCCAGCTGGCCTCGGCCCCTCGCATGCCACGCGAGGGCGACGGGGATACACCCTTCGGCGCCTCGCGCTGTGTATCCCACGCCGAGGGGCAGGCTGCCCCTTCTCTTCTGGTAGACTCTGATGTTCTCGAGCCTGCAGTACTGCTTGGCTCTGTAGTGCTCGAACTTGTGTCCCTCGTCCCAGTCGTGCTGGTCGAGGTGGTACTCCTGCGTATGCCATGCCCAATCATGGTACTCGACCAACCGTAGTATATCCAATGCCCTCAATCATGTAGCCCCCGACGCTACAGTACAGGTAGGCGCTGATGTAGAGGAGTGGTTGTGGTGTGGCGGTCGTTTGTTTGTTGGCTGAGTGTGGGTTGTCGAGCGTGCTGGTTGGGTCGTTGGGAAGTCGGCTCGTTGCTGGTGTTGTGTTGATGGTCGTGGGCGCCCATGGCCTCCATGCACCGACTTCAAGTGGGGGTCTTGGCTGTCCCACCTCGTCCCGCTATGGCTAGGGGTCACTGTGCCCTCGGTGGGGGCGAACCCCAGGCCTGGTACTTATTATTGTCGGAGTGGGATGTCTCGGCTGTCCTATGCTTCGCCCTCGGGCGCTCGGGTAGCTCCTCCTTCTCCATGGGGATGGTGGGGGTGGCGAGCTAGGGCGGACCGCGGGGGCGCGGGTAGTGGCCGTCCTACCCCCCCCTTGCCCCTCACCATCCCCCCGGGTGGGCGCGGGAAGTACTCGTCCTTCCCCCCCGCCCTTCGAGCCCGTCTCGAAGTTTGATCCATGCCTCACCAGGGCAGCGTTGACTTGACAAAAGGTGTGCAGGGCCGTGCTGGGTATGATGTCGGTGACGGTCAGTAGTGCGATGGCGTCGTGTGAATCGCCCGCTTCCAGCCAGCTGGTGTCCTCCGAGTTGTATGTGACCAGTCACCGCCAGGATACCCACAGCAAAACGTAGCGACCTGTGCCTGGGGTGTTCCCTTGCGTTCGGGGCTTCCCCAGGACTTGCGTCCTAACCCAAGCAAAACTTGGCGACGCTGCCTGAGGTCTTCCCACGCATTCGGGGCCTCCTCAGGACTTAAGCCATGACGCCGTAGTGCTTGTCGCCGAGGAAGCTCTTTGCCACGAGTGTACTGCCGTATCCACAGTGACCGTGCCCATGCCTGTGGTGTTCGAAATAGTGCAGCATAGGGCCCGTGGTCATACTTGTCTCAGTAGCACCACCACATGATGTGCTTGACCCAATCATACTGGACGTCATGGTGGTGCTTACTCCACGCTGCGCTGGACTGGGATGCTCGGCTCCCACATGCTGCTCGCTGATACTGCTTGACCTGCTTGCAATGTAGGTGCGCGGGCCCGAGGTACTCCCGTCGGTCTTGCTGCCCGCCTGCCAAGAGATGTCCAGAGATGTCCAAACATATGCGGTGGGGCCTGGGCGCTATGCTGCCCTTACCCAGGGCGATAGATACTCATAGAAAGCAGATGCCAGAGTTGAAATAAAGCCAATAAAAATACTTGTAAGAATACTCGAGGGGGGGGCACGCTCCGTCGCGATTGAGGGATCGTGCCCACCCGTATGGGCGCTACGGGCCCCCCCCCTCGAGAATGGCACGCAATCGCAGTCCATGACGAAGGCGTGCTGATAGACAAATATCCTCGCAGATCACTACCAGTATTGAGTTCATACAGTAGGTACGCTGACCCTCTCTCGCCTGCTGCCACTCTGTGACATTACCAATATGTACTCCATTCTGTAATACAATCTGCAATCCAATCCGTAAAGCTGCCAATCTGTGTACCAATCTGCAATCTGATGGTCCGTCCCGCGGACTGGCAAATATGAAATAATACAGACAACAATTTATCCCAAATATTTGTGCAGGCAGTCGTAATACCGCGCGCTGCTGTGTCAGCTGCTAGCGCCGGTGGGTACCCCACGTCCTGTGACAGTCGTGGCCCAACTGCTCTGGCTCGATGTAATAGTCCAGGGGGGCATAAAACCTGTGATAGCATTCATCCGTTTCGGCCCACAATGCCTCTTCGTCAGCGAGCTGCCCCCAATGGGCTGCGAAGGCCGTTGCCATTGCCTTGCGCAACTTTGAGGGATATTCTTTGAGGGGGGCGGTCCTCCAGCCGCTCTGGCCGTCTCGTCCGTAAGCTCTGTCGTGTCCGTTATGTCGGCACAGCTGTCCCCCAGGTACTGCCCCAAGCTCTTGTGTGAGTTCACTGAGGTGCACCGCCATCACACATGTTGGCTTTCGCGCGGCCTGCCCAAACTGGCACTGGTCGACGTAGTGTAGTTCGACGTTCGTCTGCTCCAACAGCCAAAGCGTCTCCGCTCGCTGCCAGCTGCTCGGCGCTTGAGGACGCCAAGTAGCTGGAGCAGGATGCTCGAGTACAGCGGGTACATTGCACTGCAAGCCAGTGGTGATGAGTAGTAAAGCTGTCCTGTATAGCTCGCTGGCTAGTGCTAGCTGTTGGAGCTCCGCTTGATTGGCTGCTTGCATGCCCCAGGGGAAGTCGTGTGGACGTAGTGGGCGTGGAGCTTTTCCCTCGGCGGCGTGCCAGCGCGATGAGCACCGCGTCTCGCAGGGGGGGCCAGCTACGATGCCGAAAATTTTGCCCTGTCGCATCGCCGCGCACCAAAACTCGACGACGTCTGGCTTCGTCAGGTCGCCTTTGTCGGGGTCTATCTGCACGTCGATTGATAATACTACCAAATTGCATTCCCGAATGTTCATCTCGAAGTGGTGCTGGAAATCCTCCA